AGTTTCTTTGTTCCTTTCAAAAGGATGGTCTTAAAAAAAAAAAAAAAAATCCTTCACTGGCTGAGCTTCAAACAGGACAAGCACATCAGAACCCTTATTTAATTTTCCCTTGTCTATTTTTTATTCAGGTAGTGGTAATTGTTGTCAAATGTAAAAACTATTTTAAACACCTTCTACAAAGATTGACTTCACTAATGATTTTTTCAATCTTATAGTCACATTAAAAGCTGATATTCCATCTGAAAAAATCTGAATTAATTAAACCAGAAGAAATAGGACATAATTCATTTATTATGGAATAATCTTCAGTTTTTAAAACCCAGGTTTCCCTGATATCTAAATATCTTTAAATAAATAAAATCTCACTTCGTAAAAATTTTACAAACAGCATTTGTTTGGACACATCTGAGACTACCTCAAACAGGCACTGAAATCACCCTGTGCAGAATGAAACAAAGCGCCCGTGCAAGTATTATGTATCATCTGTATGACATCCTAAACTTTGTTGCAGGATTGTCATCATTTTGTGACAACTGACACGTTTTAAATACAGTATGTGAGATAACTGTCCTGTTTATTGCTACAATAAATTGTAATATTAGGGAGAAAAAAAAAGAGGTTATCTTTGGATAGCAGAGCTCAGTTCGAGTCCAGTCACCGGACAGAAACTCATCTTCATGTTCCCTGGTGACATGGACACATGGACAAGTGTCCACATGTGTTATCTTTATCTTCGAGAAATGTAACACAACATCATCAAATTTATATTAACAGTCTTTCTTGTTGCTGCAACTTGCAGATTTTGGTTTGTTGTAACTGCTTTGATATGTGAAAGGAACAAGTTTTCATGATTTGTAACAAGAAAGACATCCAGTTAAAGCGTACAAATCCTTTTACCAGCTGCAACATTAAATGTGATGAACATAATAATTTCCCAATAATTATAATCTAATAAAATGATGTACATTAATGCGAAATGTGCCATTCTGCATAATGAGTGTTTTTACTTTTGTTTTTTTTAAAAATGCTAATTATCATTTTGAATGCTTATACTTGTAAAGAGCATTTTTACACAGCCATTGCAACTTTTCTTCCACCACTGCAAGTGAATATATTATGGCTCATATCAGAGAAACTTACAGTGACCCAACAAACTTTAATTTCACACCTGAGACAACTCATTGTGATATTTTACAGTTACTGATTTCAGAAAATGGTTTTGTCTTATTGTTGGTGCAGTACATGTGTAGACTAAGATGATTTGAATAGGCTACTATACATACAGTATACTGTTTCTGTAGAGGAAAACAAATTTGATCTCGTCTTGTTTCATTGACTGAACATGGAAGACTGTGGAAATGTGTCCTCCTGGATTAGTACAAAATTTAAAGTGTTTTTCATCAATCATAAACACGGATGATCATCTCTGACCATGAATTAGCAATAGTTTTAATACAGCTCAAAACAATTGATTGATGGAATACTGTAATGCTATACAGTAAACCATGCTGTACTGGAATCTATTTATTGTCCCTAGATTGCGCTTTTCATTTTAAAAAACCTATGCACTATAATAATACACAGTATGTGCAATCATATAGTGCATAAGAATTTATTCATTCATTTTCTACCGCTTAATCCCTGAGCCGGGGGGGGCAATCGGGCGAAGGCGGGGTACACCCTGGACAGGTCGCCAATCCATCGCAGGGCTAACACATAGACGAACAAACGCACACACGCACACACTCACTCCTATGGGCAATTTAGAGACACCAATCAACCTAAGCTGCATGTCTTTGGACGGAGTACCCGGAGGGAACCCACGCAACATGCAAACTCCACACAGAAAGGTCCCGGATGGGGCCCGAACCCAGAACCTTCTCGCTGTGAGGCAACGGTGCTAACCACCGTGCTGCCATGGTACGGAGTTTAAAACAGGTATAATTAAGAAATACTTACTGTTTGACAACTATCTATGAACGACAATTGCGTTAGCTTTTCCTCTTCATAATAGAGACCGGAAGCTGAAACTTAACCGACGTTCAGCTACGCAGCGCATGCTGAGTCCGTCGTCTACTACTTCTTCGTCGTCGTCTTCTTCTTCTTCTTGATGGTTTTTGGCGGTTGACTAACATCGTAGGCATTATCGCCACCAACTGGAATGGAGTAAATCGGGAATCCAACTTCGTTGTCCTAACATACTGAAACTAAAAATTGAACCACTTATTCCCGTTACTTCTTTATAAAAGATCGTGTAAATGATCCGATAAGTCATTTATGTTTAAAATTAGCTCCTCCCTCTCAGCATCATATTTTGGACAGTGAAGCATTAACATGTTCTTAAATTTCTTTTTGTTCATCTTACTTGAAGTATCTGTATAGATTTGAATACAGGTGTAGACCTAATGCTGACATTCTATATAATTATATATAACTGTTTCTGAATTCAACATAAAATCACTTTTTCACTCTTAGAGGTATTCATGGTTGTATTGGTAATAGAATAGTTGGAACTGGAATATTCCTAATTCTGTTGCTCTCAGTGTAATGGTACGTCCAAAGCCTTTTATTTCCCTTTTTTCATTTTCCCAGTAAGGCTTTAATGTAACTGGTGTTGGATGAAATTAACCACATAGTTAAGTGCCAGTTCATTCCCAGTGGCGTTTCTCCCTATTTCCACCTGTAGACCTGATGTTGGAATTGTTGGAATTGCACCTGAACATAATCTTAATTGAATGTGGCCTAATTTTTTGAGAGACATAGTGACAGTTGACATCTTGCCCTTCTTCTGCTCCACTCTGTTATGAAGACGCCTGTTCAGTTTCTAAGTGACGTGACTCTGCAGACCCCCTTCTAAAACCCTATCTATAAACATTTATAGAAAAAATGAAAGAACAAATTAACAAATACATTTTTTAGTTTATCAGTTGTTTTCAGTGAATTTAAATGACTTTCATTACAACAATTCAAGTTCTGTTAACTCTCATTTTTAACGTAGCAAACATGTTTAATTTAAAAATGAATTTATATATTTTGCAGTATCTGGTAAGAAAAAGAGTATGGGACATTTTAGTTATAAATGTAGCACATTCAGCAGATATGACAGTGAATTAGTTCTTTTCAAAATGTAAGGTATTTGGAGATATACACCTCTTTAGCTCCCATCATCAAGTGTAAATGTTATCTGGCTGATGTTATGTCACAAGCTGCTATCTGACTGTTGTCTTACTCATTATCGCAGGTTTATGCAAATATAATAAAAAAAAAATGACTGGCCTGGCTATTTGCAAATATTTTCTACTTCTTCACACCAGTGGCATTCTGTGTGTGCTGTATGGTTACTGTACAGAATGAACAAGCCAGATATAATGAGTTCATTAGTGAGCTTTAGAGTTACTGCTAGGCCAGAGCCAGACTTGTTGTTTCCTCATTTCCAGTCATTAAGCTGGACTCTTGATTCCAGCTCCATATTTGACACATGCACCCACTTGCAACCAAACTAAAAGAAAGAAAAATTATGAAAAATAAGGTGACAGTTTTCTAAAGATGAGTAGTTGTGTGACTGAAGATTTCTTCATTCCTGTCTAATCTGTCTTTAACTCAAAGTCGTCCTTTTGCCTGAGCAGGCTGCGGAAGACTTTCTCAGGGTACAGGAAGAAGTTTGTGTTCCTCTCCATGTCCTGAGCATTTATAATACGAGTGACCAGAGCTTGTTGTATGGCTGGAGACTCACAGGGGTGATGCTGTACATTGTGACTCACATTCCTCCATGGCTCAATGACTAAAAGACCCAACACGCTGGCTTCCTCCTCAGCGCTATGTCCGGCTGAACCGTTGAGTGTCTTTCTGTTGACAGTATCTACAGTGGTTTCATTGCTTCCTTTTTGCACATTAAGTCCAAAGTCTTCATTTGATTCATTTGTTTTGCTAATTTCAGCTGCTGAATTGGGTGCAGCAATCTCATTAAGTTTGTTAGTTGAGATATTTGGACTAACCAAACTAACACTAAAAGTGTTGTTACTTGAGCAGATCATATTGGCTGTGGTAGTTGTATTAGTTTGTGTTGGTCCCCTGGCCATTCTAGTTTTGAAGTTTTGTGGACCTGGAGCTGCAGTCTCCTGAATGTTTCTGTGTAGATAGGTTGTGTAGCCCCGAACCAGGTGCTTTAACCCTGTCTTATAAGAAAGACGTAGTGACTCAACTGATCCTGTTGGCACAGAGAGCAGCCGGGCCTGTTGGAATGAGAAATATGGTGATTTCAGATCTGCCCAGAATCACCAGGAATTACTATTGGATGAGTGAGCACCTCTATGATTGATGTATGGCATTGTAGCCTACTATATGTGTGGCTTTCATGCACGAGACAATGACGTTCCATTACACTTTAACTAAGTGTCTTAGTTGCCTCATGGCAGTATATCATAACCACTATTCCCTGGTTCTGCTGTACTGATAATGATAAAGTATTGCACAAAATTAATACATAGAACTTTTCCTTTTGGGTACTGATTTTTGCTGAGGAGATGTAATGTACAGATGAGATACAGTGAGGAACAGAAGTATTTGAACACCCTGCGATTTTGCAAGTTCACCCACTTAGAAATCATGGAGGGGTCTAAAATTCACATTGTAGGTGCATTCCCACTCTGAGAGACAGAATAAAAAAGAAAATTTCAGGAAATCACATTGTATGATTTTTAAAGAATTTATTTGTCTTGCACTGCTGAACATAAGTATTTGAACACCTGAGAAAATCAGTGTTAATATTTGGTACAGAAACCTTTGTTTGCAATTACAGAGGTCAAACGTTTCCTGTAGTTCTTGACCAGGTTTGCACACACTGCAACAGGGATTTTGGCCCACTCCTCCACACAGATCTCCTCTAGATCTGTCAGGTTTCGGGGCTGTCGCTGAGCAACGCGGAGTTTAAGCTCCCTCCAAAGATGTTCTATTGGATTGAGGTCTGGAGACTGGCTAGGCCACTCCAGAACCTTGATATGCTTCTTACGGAGCCACTCCTTGGTTATCCTGGCTGTGTGCCTCCATGATTTCTAAGTGGGAGAACTTGCAAAATCGCAGGGTGTTCAAATACTTCTGTTCCTCACTGTATTTATACTGCAAAGAAATAAAAAAAATGCATTTCAGTCCTGACCTGGTGGATTCTTATGTGCAGATGAAATGCAGCTCCTGTCAACCACTGCTGCATGGACACTGAACTCATTCTCTTTTTAGTGGTCATCCTCTCATAATGGTCAAGCAGCTCCAGTTTCAGCCACGTGTCAAAGAGCTCTGTAGTCTCAGCCATCATCTCCAGGTTGTTGGCAATGCCAGGGACCTGGCGAAGGTAGCTGTGGATAATCCAGCCAATTCTTGAAGCGCTGCTGATGCCAAAAATCTGTTTAGCCTGTGAACTCTGACCTGATAGGCGCCCCTCTGCTGATCCTTGTGCCCGAACCTAGAAAGAAAACAGAAATGTTGGAATGTGTAAATTTCAGTTTTGTCTTAGCATCATGCTTTGTGATACAAAAGAAATGCCTGTGTGCTGTGTAAAGCACTTTGAATGGCCTCTGTGTGAAAAGTGCTATATAAATAAAGTTGCCTTGCCTCGGTGACTACACTAGGAAGCTGATGTTTAACAGGCATAATGTTTACTGTGATCACCATCTTAGTTCATCATATTATTATAAATAAAAATAAATCTAAATAATAATTAAGTTTTTGTAAATTTATTCTGAGGTGGCAATGAATACACAGTATGTACCAAATTTCACAGCAATTCATCCAATATTTGTTGAGTCATTTCAATCAAACAATATAAACCTTATGAGGAGCCTAGGGGTCTCTCACATAGTTACACAACTAAAATTTTGAAGAAGATCGCTAAATTTCACAACAACATGCAGTATTTTTCACTCAAAGTGCAGGTATTACCAAAATGCAGAGCGTGAAACATGTTCCTTGTGGAGCAGCATGATATATAATATTTGAGCAGGTAAGGCCCTCAGGGTCAGGTTTCTGTTGATTTCTGAAAGCTGCACTATATTCTGAGCTTTTTGAACCTATACGGTGGACAGCATTCGATAAAGACATACAAACACTAGACAAAACAAAAAAGTTTTACCTACTTGTTGGGAAACTTGGTCAAAAAGCAGGGACAGAGCCAGAGCAACAACCCCCACCCCTCCATACATGACACTGCTGCTGTTGCCTCCCAGCTCTTTAGTCAGACTGAGGCTGAAATTAGTCTGCTGCTCCCGACTCATGCCCCGCTGTAAGGAGGCATATTGATGCTGCAGTGCTGCAGAGGAGTCCAGCGACAGGAAGGTGGTGAGGACTGGATCCAGGGAAATATCAGGGATTATGCTGGCATCTCGAGCCACAGAGAACAGCTCCTGGACCGTGGCTGGAGAAGGAAGACACAAAGTTTGACCCATCAAGATCATGACTATATGTGTTTATCAAACAGTGTGGTATGGTAAGTATAGATGTATGTGTGTGTGTTTGAAACAGATCTGCTTGTTGTCTGTGTTTCTAACCCTCTGTGTGTGTTTCTTTGCCCCAGTCAGAATGACGAAATCAACATACCAACCTGATTCTCCTGTGGGGGCAAAGTCAGTGGTACCACAAACACAGCTGTTATTTTGTTTTGCTCGAGTGGTAGTCTATTTCTTATGTAGCGCCATTTATAAAGGGTTTATACACTGTAATTAATTATTCTATTATTGTTAATAAATAATTTACCAATGTTTATAAATTATAAACAATTAATAAACATAACCTTTAGGTTACCAGGTAATCAGAATGGCATTTAGACTTAGACACAACTGCTGAACATTAACTTTAATGTCAATATGCAAGCAGTCACCTCACTGAGGGGTAGATTTACTGTTGCCTTCAGCAAACTTTCAAAATGGAAAGTAGAGCATGAGTCTATGTCCAATAGTGTGACTACCCAGAATTTGGCCTATACTGTTGTACATTCAAACAAGCTTGTACCTACACCCTGTACAGAGATATAGTAGTAGCAAATGCTTAATACTTAATGCATTTCATCATTATTTTATTTATATGTTACTTCTTTAATAGTTTATTACATGTTATAAAGTATAACAGAATTGTGTAGCTATCTGTCAACAGTAAATCCAGTTGTTATTTAAATATAGCCTATTATTTCTGTCTCGACTGCTGATACTGTTTTTTATGTTGGTATTTGTTCAATAAAAACAAAACGTTAAATTGAGGAGAAGAAGCACACACAACCAGCTCACTATGCTGTACTGTTCTGTACTAGCTCGGTGATCTTCGTTAGTCACATGACACTCGTCTTGTTGCCTAGTCTGTTGCTGTGTGACGTCATGTGCAAATCCTCTAAAATTAGTCCATGATGCGGAAGTAAATAAATAGAATTTTGCAGTCAAAAACAGGACAAAACAATCGCTTGCGTTTGAAACCGTTTATATACACAGTAATTATCGTCTTGCTGTCAAAAAATAAATTAAAGAAATACATATAGTCTCAGTGTGATTATATAATCACAGGATTTCCGTGTTGTTGTCATGAAGCCGTCACTGTCTCGACCTTGGACGCCAGGTCTTCACACAGAGCAGGAACGAAGAGGAAGTCTGGTCCTGCTTCACGTCGGTGAAAATAAACAGGTGAGTACGAAAGAATGGAGCAGGTACAAGGCACGTTAATGATTTTCTTGGCTAACTTACTTATCCGCTGGGGCTAAGTAAAACACAGTATTAGCAAAGTGACCTACAGATGGGTGACCAGTTACAGGAAAATCCTGAATAAAGGAGTCAAGACACAGGAATCGGTTTCATGGTGAGATGCCTTTATATCATGGATGTGTTGAGGAATAATACTTATTAATACACATTGACTAACATATTCATTCTATATACAGGGTACGTGGGGTCACTTAATGATTTAATGATAATATGACTCATATATTATGGCCTTAAGTATCAACTATGATAATCCTCCCTGTCCCATCTACTTCATAATCAATTTCCAGAAGATCTTAATGGATGGTGGAGTTTTACTTAGATGCTTTTATTTATAGATGAAGATAGATAAAGTTTCATTATAGAATGCAGGATTGCACAATGAAAGGTAATTGTAGTCCTTTCATGCTACATGCTCAAAAAATGTACAAACACATATTTGAATATTTTAAAGTAGAATATAATAAACACATTAGGATTCATTTAAAGTTGTGTGTTTAGGTACCTGGCTGGCACTGAGATTTGTGCAATGAGGATGAGTGTGTCATAGCTACACTGTGCAGACACCAGTGTAGAGATCACTCTGTACAGCAGTGCATACAAATCTACTGATAAATCAGAGGATGAAATTTTCATCCCAGGTAGTCCACCATTATGAGTCAGCGGACTGAGCGACGGGGGATACACGTGGACCAGTCAGACCTGCTGTGCAAAAAGGGATGTGGTTACTACGGCAACGCAGCATGGCAAGGTCTGTGCTCCAAATGCTGGAGGGAGGAGTACCAGCGGGTACGGCAGAAACAGATCCAGGACGACTGGGCCTTGGCAGAAAAGTAAGACCATAACTAGACCACAATGCCCAAGGGAACAAAGTGCATCTTCATGAAAGTGTCTGCAGTCATAGTTGGATGGTATCAACTTTCTAAATACTTGGTATTGTCCAGATTACTTAACTATAGTACTGCAATATCTTACTACCACTTAAAGCAGAAGACTGCAGATTAACTTGTTCCTTTTATAATTCTTTTTACAAAGAATTTTTACATTTATAATGTAATGCCAAAAGGTGCATCAAATTGCTTCCTATATAACTTCTCAGTGATACATTTTCTCAGTTTCTTTTGATATTCTCCTATCCACGCTTTGTATCCAACAGCAGAGTTGTGCATTTCACATTGCTTTCACATGGAATCCAATTGAATAAGTAAAATTTGTTTTTGTGCTCATCAGTTATACATGTGTCATAATAATTTGTTACACAAAAAGAACTACTGTGCATGAATTTGATGAGATATAATGACACTATTTGTAAGTGTTGATCGGTATAGTTGATAACTTGCATGTTCTGTCAATTCTGTCATTTCTTTGGTCCCAGGTTGCAACGAGAGGAGGAGGCAGCATATGCCAGTAGTCATGGAGTGCAGACCCAGTCCCACTCCCAGTCCACAGCACCACACCCAGGGCACGCCTCTCTAGGGCCCTTTTCCAAGTTTGAGGAGAAGAAGACCAATGAAAAAACACGAAAAGTGACCACTGTCAAGAAATTTTTCAGCCCTTCATCACGAACTGCTACCAAGAAAGGTATGACATTAGCACAGCATACAGCCCAGTACACTCTACAGTTTGTTAACACTTGTTTGTTGCCCAGCTCAGTGCTTCATGCTTTGCCTGTGTAGGCTAACTTTGTATTTGTTTGCTATATTGACACTGGCACATCAATCTTTTTACTTACCACCTGTTTCACACTGTCACAGTTGTTTGATTATTTGATTAAACAGCTCATCCTTTAAGCACAAAGAGTTGGAGCTGGGAAGCAGTTAACCTAGGTTAGTATAAAGTATATGTAAACACAGAGGAGCAGCTGGCCCGACTTGCTCCAAATTAGAGCTGCTAGAGCATGGCTGCTAGCACCTCTGAAGCTTATTAAATAACATAACTTGTTTTTTTTAAACAGTACACAAACAAAAATGTGAAAATGGCAGTTTTTGTTTTTAGATGAATTTTGTACTGGAACAAATTCCTCGCAACAATAGTGACAAGGACTGCAGTGCATTGGGAATCAGGCTTTCTACATTGCAAGCAGATTTGAGTTATTCCCCTGAAGTGGTTCATAGGTTTTGCTCTATGTAGATACAGGTTACAAACAGGAAAGCGACCTAAAATGTATCTTTCTCTAAACATGGTTCTTCCTCATCAGAAACCCAAGAGGGCAAGACACCCAGTCCATCTATTAGCCGCCGTGCCAGCTTTGATACAGACCAAGTATCCAGGGACTTTCTGGACTTCTTGAAAAACCTCCAGAAACCAGGCCGGGAGATCCATAAGCAGTGTCGAGTCTTCATTGTGAACATGTTAAGCAAGAAGGTCTGTTGTGCTCAGAAATCAAGGAGTGATCTGAAATACAGTTGCATAATAATAATCTTTATAATGACAGGTCAACTGCTAAACATTTTCATGACCTGGCCCTTGTTTACCGTAAGCATCTTCAGGCTAAGGTGATCATAAAATTGAGCTTAATGAATCTTCCTTAGCGTGAGAAGCGTGTCCCACAAACATCAAAGATGATCTGAGAGTAATGAGTGCCTCCTGTCCTCTCGTAAGAGGCTCCAGAACCTGCAAGAGGAAACAAAAACTACATGATTAGGTCTATACTTTTATCATGAACCGTAATGTTCTTTGTTAAGCCAATTAACATTAAAACCAAACAAAGCATTATCATCAGGACCACAGACATGATGTTAAGAAGCTGTTAACAGCATGCACTTGCTCTTAGGTGCTGCTTTGGGAAGTGCATGTATAAATTTAAGAGAATCTCTAGAAATGCTCTTAGAAAACCTCTAAACTTGGATGGATCATTCTCAGCTCTATATGACCTTTTAACTTGCAACTTGTATTGACAGGATCTCGGTGCTGATGAACTGTCGGAGTGTGTTCAGGATTTCTACCAGAACATGGCTGACCGCCTAATGAGTCACTTTAAAGGTTGGTTCAGAGAAGCTTCTTACCTGAAATCAACAACATTCAACAACTGTGTCCAGAAAGCACAAATTAGTTTTCAGTAGAAATGAAGTTGAAACTCCACAGTCAGTTTTACAGAGAAGGAGAACGTATTGTTCAAAGCTCAAGACCGTTGTCCACCTGACTGTTCTAACTAATGTGGTCTGATAAATCATTGTTCATCAGGCTCTTCAGACTCTGTGGAGCAGGTGATGGACCAAGTGGAAAAGTACATCATGACTCGTCTGTATAAGAGCGTATTCTGTCCAGAAACCACGGATGATGAGAAGAAGGACTTGGCCACACAGAACAGGATAAGGTGGGCCTCCCTGGATTCAAATCAGGATGTGCTGTTTTCATAATACACAGTTTAGTGGAAGTGTTAGAAAGCATCACTGCGCATTGGTTCTCTTTAATCTTCAGCGGTCTGTGAAAACGTCTGTGTGTATGCACTCAGTGTGTTTGCATGGTCAATTACACAATAGCCATTTTTAGCAGTGTTGTCCATGTTTTTCTTACATGTGAATGCGCAGTGGCAGCTGCTGACTAGATGTGTTTGTCATCCAGTGGGGGACTGACTGTAGCAAATATGCATAGTTACATCATATGCAAAAAAAAAAAGATTTAGGTTTACTCCTATGAACACAAACTGTATTCTTTGTGTTGCAGGGCCCTACACTGGGTGACCATCCAGATGCTGTGTGTGTCTGTGGATGAAGAAATTCCTGAAGTCTCTGAGAATGTGGACAAAGCAATAACAGGTCAGAGGGTGTGTTTGGACATCCAGTTAATTAAAGTCCAACTGAAATTAAATTAAATTCCTTTTTTTCTATTTAATATAAAAAACTATAAACAGTAAAACAAAAAAACAGATAGTTTTTGACTGCAAAAAGGGATGAGCCCAAAATGTCTAATGTGTAGAAACTAGCTAAACGTGCAGTTAAATTGGCAGCACTCTGTGGTTTCTAGATGGTGCAGGTAGTAAAGACAGACACTGTACAGTGAATATAAATATTTCCTTTCCTTATATTTTAACTTCGATTCATAACAAAGTGCTGTACAATGAGTCTCATTCACTCTCACACATACTATTAGAGTGGAGGATGACATCTCAGAGATAGATGTCTAAAAACCAGAACTATCTTTATAAAAGTATCTCCGTTTGTGAATTCTAGATATCATTGAGATGGACTCGAAGAGGGTTCCTCGGGACAAACTTGTGTGCATCACACGCTGTAGTAAACACATCTTCAGTGCCATTCGGATCACTAAGAATGAGCCGGCCTCTGCTGACGACTTTCTCCCTGCACTCATTTATATCGTACTCAAGGCTAACCCTCCAAGACTTCAGTCCAACATCCAGTACATCACTCGCTTCTGTAACCCCAGCAGACTGATGACTGGAGAGGATGGCTACTACTTCACCAACCTGGTCTGTTTTTTATTTTTCCTCTCTTACTTTAGTGCTTGCCAGAGCCAGTGTCACAGGGGTACTGTAGGTGCAAAGCCAGTGGCTAATGAGACTAATTATTAACATTGAGCTGTGAGGGTTTTACCTCTGCAGTTTACCTTTATCTGTCAAACCCATCAACAAATATTTACAATGTCTCCTGCTGCTGACAGAAATCTGAGGAGCACCACTAACTCCATCAATGTAAAGGTGCAGGTCAATCGTCATGTTATCAGTAATGGCATCCTACATAAAGTCACTGTTGTCTGCTGAATTTTAAACTTCTCAACCAACTCTCCACCACAAAGCAAATAAGCTTTCCAAAAATGTCAAACTATTCCTTTAATGGGAGGCTGTCTGCTTCTGTATGGACCAGTGTGAACTTGCTGTCAGACTCTTAGATATCCTTTTCTGTTGGTGTGCCTCCTTTGTCTTTTTAGTGCTGTGCAGTGGCCTTCATCGAGAAGTTGGATGCTCAGTCCCTCAACCTTTCCCCAGAGGAATTTGAGCGCTACATGTCAGGCCAGGCTTCACCACGATTCAACGGCTCAGAGGGTGACTGGCCCCACACTGGCTCAGCACTTGGCATAACAGCAACTAACCCTGTCCTGGCTCAGGTCAATCATAATCTGGAGCTGCTGTCGGGCCTCAGCGGCCGGCAAGAAAGGCTAATGGAGGCTGCTCAGAGCCTGCAGGCCGACCTCCTCTCCTGGTCCGACAGCGTACAGCGGGAAGTGCATGACATCCGGGAGAAATACCCTCTGGAGATCCTGTCTTGCACAGTTCCAGCCATTGATGCCAACAACATAGACAATGACAACCTGCCATCACCCCTCACACCCCAGGTGTTCTCTGGGTAGTGGAGTCTCCGAAGGGAGGAAAACATTTCAAATACAGCAAGGGTACAATACACCGGCTTTGATAAAATATAACATCCCACATGCACAAATCTCCTGAAGACTTTGGAGTCTCATTTTGCTGCGCCGCTTCTGCACCTTAAAGGTATAGGCTGTGTCTGAAATCACTTCCTATTTACTGCATCTATGGTCCACCATTTTCATTTGAGCGTCCAAAATCTGAGCAGGTGCATTTTGGAAATGGAAGAGTACTGTCAATGACCTATACACTAATTTCTGCTAACAATCCCATATTGCTATGCTCCACATTTTACAGGTTAAGGAAAATGACTGTTAAGCACCTCTATAGCTGCTAGAGAGTATACAAAGTGATAAATGATTAAAATGTGTCCAAAATCGCAATTTACTGCTCACTACTGTTTGTGCACAGAGCCACTCTGGAACAAGCCCTTTCACTTAAATTTTTTTTAAGCACATTCTGTATGTTGTAACACTGTACTGTATTTTTAGAATTTATATATAATATATACTTATGTACTGTGTGTAAAAATGGACTGGTGCTGACTGCCTGTGGACACACTACTGTGCTACTACTGGCTTTATTTTTGTGTTGATTCATGGCTTGGTGATCTATTTAGTATTTAGAGTGTATAATATCACTATTCTTGCAGAGGGATGAGTGAACATATAAAATATTAGATTACTGTAAATGGCCATATTTACTCAACTGCAAAGACAGTTGAGACAACATGCTGACAGGCTAACTAAAATGATCCTGTTAATTCTTATAGTTAACATGATTTTAACATCAGTCATTGGACTGACTTTTTTACTATAAAATGATATTATCTGGTTATAGACAACACTTTTAGTTTAAATTAATTTAAAGTTGAGGAATCACCTTAAGGAATAAGTGTGGTGATATTTGTTTTATTTATTAAGACCAAAACCAACAATTAATTAAACCAGTATGAGAGACATTTCTGTTTTTAAACCAAATAAACTGAGTACATATTTATGAGCCATTTTTAAAGACTTGCATCTTTCAGATAAGCCAGTGAGCTACATTGGAGCTACATCAGGGACACAGTGGAGAAGAGAAAGACTAATACATTGTTGGTTTTGGTCTTTTCATGGCATTTGTTAGCAGTAATAAAATACAGAAGACACCAGCTGTATCCTTCAAACTGATTCTGAAATGTGAAAAGCTACCAAAATCAACCATAAAGCAGACTTATGAAAATGAATTAACATGTAAACATCTCATATTTATGATGCAGTAACAGATCATTCATTTACAAGTGTTTAATGACAAAGTGTCCATCTGATTTTCTGAATGTTGGTGTGGTCATACCAGTCTTTTTTTTAACTGCACTGTATGATGTTAATTGAAATCTAAATAAAATCTGTGTGACATTATTACTTGGGTGCCTAAAATTTTTGCACAGCCACAGACAACACACACTGACTGCTCTGCTTTTCTTTAAGATCATTTCATTTTCCCGCAAATGAAAACTGCAGTGTGGAGGAAAGTAACTTAAGTACATTTACTCACTATTTAAGTACAGTTTAGATGTACTTGAGTATTTTCATTGTATGTTTTATACTTGACTCCATTTTAGACATTCAGACACTACATTTTCTCACAGTGATTAGTTATTAACTGTTTTTCAAAATAAGACTACATTTTAAAATGTATGATAAGCTTATAAAGTACAATTTCTTTATTTTGAAAATGCACATATAGTAAAGTGCAGACCAGGGTGGGCCTCAATGGAATCCAAGTTGTAAATACCATATTAGCACAACCTCAGCAACCTCAAGACATCACTGTGATGAAGACCTTGTAGTCAAAAACATCCGTGCGACATGTTCTGAGTTTATAAAGTGCACCACTTTCTTTTTTGCATGTGATTCTTATCAAATAAGCAACGTGTAACGACATTCCTCGTCATATTTCTGATGTCTTGCTGTGAGACATTTTCCCTCTGAAAGCCTCAGATGTTTTAATATAATAACTGTTTGAGCCTGAAAGGGTTGACAAAAAAGCAAAGATTAGTACCAATAAAATAATAATAATACTACTGACACATTGGTATCGACAATGTAATATACAACTATGTGTCAGTCATAGGAACCATTTTACTGAAGTACCTTCATTAGATACTTTAAGAACAATTTGGTGATAACACCTCTGTGTCTCTACTTAAGGAGGATTTTGAATGCAGGACTTTTACTTAAATAAATGTAAATGTTCTACATGTGCTAAGAAAAACAGCTTCATCAAGATGTAATATGCAATATACTGTTTATTCATTTTGATACTGTTAGGTGATGTGAGGGATTTCTGGAGTCTGAAATAGCAACTTACTTTCTCCACCAGAGGCCTCCAATGTGCAAAAGTGACAAATGCAGTTTTAAAGGGCCATTGTCTGAAGTCACTCAGCTGTAAACAGCAAGTCATGGCTTCTCAAGGAATTGTATTTTTCTACCTAAACAAACATCTATTATTTGGGGAAGAATTTGTCATTGGTTTAAACTAGAGTTTGCATCCATTTTTTTCTTACAGTGTTCTCATCATACAGTATATACATAATACAAGAGAAATCAACTGCAGTTAATGTTTATACATGCTTACATATATATATGAAAAACAAATAATGAAAGCTTTATACATACAGTAAGGCATAGAATTTATACAGACCTAACCTAAAGGAATTAGTATCAAACATCTGTCAAATATTTGCACCGCAACAAAGCAAAGAATTCAAAACCGTTTATAGTATATACAAAAATACGTATGCAAATGCCCCTAGGAATATTTTATTAGAAAAAATAATAGGAATCTCATCAGGAGGACATCACGTTATATTTGAAACATGCACTTTCCGCAAAGAGTTTTCAGTTCAGCGGTGGGACACATGTCTACTTGTTTTGTTGTTGTGTTTGGGGTAACTGACTCACTGAGAAAAAGCAGTTCTTGATGCAGGGATACTTGGTCTACTGTGCTCATTGGTTCTTGTTTAGTGCCTCAAATTGTCACATGTGCACCGCAAGCATCTGCGGTCATCCCGAATGGGAGATGTACAGTACAGTTCAAGAATCGTAAATAGACCTTATACTCTCCGTCTTTCCCTCTGCTATCACACTCGCTACACTTTGGACTCACTCTCATTATTGGCAATGTCTCCATTCCTCTCAGTCTGCAGGCTCTTCCTCTGGTTGTCCAGGCTGGTCTTGGTCTCCTGACCCTCCTGCTCAGACTCCGGCAGCCCCTGCTGGCTCAGCTTACTCACCAGTGACCAGGTTAGGGGCAAGCGGGAGCGACTGGTTATATCGGCAAGCTCTTTGGCACTGCAGGTGGGTGTGTTGGTTTCGTAGATGTCATGAAAGCTGTTATAGTCCACCTCATAAAAGCCGTCCTCTAGCGTCAAGACGGGTGTGAAGCGGTAGCCCCATTTGATCTCACTGCTCACGTATGAACTCCTTGCCTGGCATGTCATACCTGGAGAAACAATGCAACAAGGGTTAAATGATTATGGTATTTATTCTTAGTTTTGCTTTTACTTGCCCAGGTTTTTAGAAATTTGTCTGTCAGAGTTCTTTCTCCAATCCCATTACATTGGTTTTAATTGAAATTTACTTGTGCTCACTGAGGGTGTCATCAGGAATAAGCATGATATGGATGCCATGGATTCAGGGAGCTATGTTGCTGTAACTGTTTTGTAGCCTATATTTGTTACTATAGCTGTACAGATAAATATCACTGAGTTAATCTGATACTGAAGAAAAATTAAAAACCTCAATTCTCAGGCATGTTTAGCAGTTCTAAGGAGCATCTGTCTTTCTATGATTACTAAGCAGATTTATGAATGTTTATTTGGATATCAGAGATAATTATATCTTCAGGAAGTGTAAGTCACACTGAATCTAAAAATAGGTGGATCGTGTGTGTGTGTGTGTGTGTGAGAGAGAGAGAGATTTTGGCGGACTTATTCCTCAGAGAAGGAGTACAATTTTCCACAGTAATTGCAGCAATCGGGTGCTAATTGCTTCCAAGAGCTGTGTGTGTAGATCAGCCAGGCACATATCAATAAGTAAACTTCCTTTTGTTTTCAGAACGCCTGGACGAACCCTCTCACCTCCACTCAGTCTGCGCCCCCTCCACCGTTCAACACTCCCACAGTCACTATAGCAAGATTTCAGGCAGCCAGTTTTACAAAGATGAGAGTATGCACCCTGTTGCCAGCCATTCTTATGTTCAAACATCTCTGCAAGATGATCAGGTTTTGCTGTCTGTAATGACATCGTCTGTTCAAACTGGCTGCGAAGAAATCCTTTGCAATGCAAGTCAAATCCACACTCAGTTGTCTTTGTGCAAAAATATATTCAGATGTTTATGTGAAGCTACAGTGAGGCCTCGACTGCCTAGGCTAATCAAACGAGTGAGTATCTTCTAAAGTTAGGACTTTATGAGTCCTCTGCCATGACTCAGCTAGAAAACAGTCCACAGAGACACAAGGAGTGAATTTTACATTAAAAAAAACCTTAACCCCGGAAGATCTCCACTTAAATTGACTAACTCAGACTAACTGAAATGATCATTTATATTAGTTTATAACTTTACAACACATTGTAAATAGCGTAGCTTGAACAGAAAACTGGTAAAGATTAAGTACCTCAAAACGGTACTTAAGTAAAGTTAATTACATTGAACTGCTACTTCCTGATGTCATTTACATGCCTCCAGCAGCTGCTTTAGAACATGCCACTCAGACATTAAGCAATTTGATAATTTTATTATGTCTGATATTGAGACAAATGAACATATACTAGTTTCTAATAGATAACGGGCATCTCGACACCATCTGCTCCAACATATTAACATGTTTTATTTGTGAATTTTAGGATGGGGAGAAAGTATTGGGTGAGCTACACATTACACTTTAAAACTTGCAGATCCTGTCATTTCACCCATAGACAAACAATTAAATTTAGCATGTGTTACCACCACAGTTGTTAACATGTGTCTATAGTTCCCTATTTGTCGTTTATGAAATGCACAGAAAATGTTTATGTCCGTGCCCTTAAATTACAATTAATAATTTAGGTTTTGATAAAACAGAGCCAAACACACCAAACCAAAACAAAAACATTGTGCATGATTTCAGCATATACCTGTCTATATTTCAGTCTAGACCAAAGAGGTAGACCAACAGAATAACATTGCTTCCCATGGCTAAAATATTGTAAACATGTCATTATGTTTGTTACAGTAAACTGAATGAGATTAACAAAGAAATGTGAAAAAAAACACCCTTATTGACATGCACAGTAATAATGAAGTAGGTGTTCACCTTCTGTAAATCAGAGGTTATTGTGGCCAGAAAACTTTATGCATCTGATGACTCACCTGTGGCCTCGACCATCCCCTCCAGAATCACAACTATTTCCAACTCTTCCTTGGCCAGATGAGCTTGTGAGATCTCCCAGAAAGGGCTGTGCTGATTGATTTCATGGCAGATGATGAGGGGTGACACCAGGAAAAGTCTGTCATCTCCCGTGTTGTAACCCACATTTATGTCTGTCTGGTTTAAAGGGATGAACTCCCCTTCCTTGGTCTGCTTAGACTTGATAAGCTTGGCCCTGATAGAAGCCTCCACGATGTGCGAGTTTCGGAGGTCTCCGACTCTGAACATCAGGCACAGTCGTCCATCTCTCATTGAGATGACCGCATTGGTGGAAAACACTAATGTCTCAGCTCGCTTCTTGGGCTGCGAGATCTTAACAAACATGCAACCCACCATGAAGGCATTCACAATAGATCCCAGCACTGACTGAACTAAAAGCAGAACTATTCCCTCAGGGCACTTGTCTGTGATTACTCTATATCCATAACCAATCGTGGTCTCTGTCTCAATGGAGAAAAGAAAAGCTGATACAAACCCATTGAGGTTATTGACACATGGAGTCCACTGGTTGTCTGTTATATGGTCCAGATCACCGCGGAGATAAGCAATAAGCCACCACATGAAGCCAAAGAAGAGCCATGTCACCGTGTACACCAACACAAAGATGAAAAGGTTGAACCTCCATTTGAGATCTACCAGTGTGGTGAAAATGTCTGTCAGGTAGCGGTATCTCTCACGAACATTCCCGTGATGGACGTTACACTTCCCATCTTTCTGGACGTACCGCTGGACCTTCTTAGCCCTGTCAATTTCTGCCAGCCGTTTAGGCAGGTCCTCACGGGCCTGCTTTGGCAGCTTGGGCTGTTTGATGATGGCTGGGCTCTCTACATCCTGCTCCATGGGGTTTCTAGGTGGATTCAAACCTGTAAGAAAGGGCACAAAACAGTTACTATGAAGAGGAAGCATGTTGTTTTTGCTTTCATTGAGCCCAAGTACAGATAATGAAGATTTTCATTGGTGGAAAGTAACTAGGTACATTTACTCAAGCACTGTACTTTACTTAAGCACTTCCATTTTTTCCTTCTTCATGCTTCTATTTTGCTACGTTTAAAGCAAAATATTGCACTTTCTACTATGCTACATTTATCTGACAGCTGGATTTAATGGTTTCTTTCAAAATGACAAGCTAAAACTTGAGAAGAACACTGCCTTGATGTATAAGTAATACTAATAACTCAAACATACGTATAACCCTAACCCACTCTGTCGCATATGAGTACTTTTAACTTTAAGTACATTTTGCTGCTAATAGTTACAGTGAGGAACAGAAGTATTTGAACACCCTGCGATTTTGCAAGTTCTCCCACTTAGAAATCATGGAGGGGTCTGAAATTCACATTGTAGGTGCATTCCCACTCTGAGAGACAGAATTAAAAAAAAAATTCAGGAAATCACATTGTATGATTTTTAAAGAATTTATTTGTCTTGCACTGCTGAACATAAGTATTTGAGAACTTGCAAAATCACAGGGTGTTCAAATACTTCTGTTCCTCACTGTATGTACCTTTGATTCATATTTTAATCACCTTTATTTGGACAAGTATGTTATACACAAGGAATTTGTTTCCAGTACAGAACCAAGACAACACAACCAATGGCTCTAACCATTGGGGGCAACTTGGGGGTTCAGTGTCTTGCCCAAGGACACTTCGATACGTGGACTGCGGGCACCGAGATTCAAACCTCCGACCCTCCGGTTGGGACACGACTGCTCTACCCACTGAACCACTGTCATCTGCTCCTTTGAAGGAGTTTTATTACTTGTTGTCATTACTATTTTAAATGAAAGATCTCAATACTTCTTCCAGCACTGGAGACTTAGTATATAGGTGGGATGTCATCTAACAACAGCATAAATTCAAGCTAATGCTAGCCCTACTATACTGCACTGCTATACTGGCACATTCACAGTCAAATTTAAAGGTGTCTAAAAGTTGTCCTAACTTTAAAGCCACACAGCCCTGTTTTGCAGGTTAGTTTAGCTCATACACTGAAATATCAAAGTAGCATTTTCAGATGTATACACTCTGGAAGCCGTTTTGGAAAATCTCTGTTTAAAGAGAGGGAAAATGCAGTTTTGTGCCTTCACTGACCAGTGACTTTGACTTTTCTTCTTTGACTGCCAAAATCAAATCAGCTCATCCTTGAGTCTAAGTGGAGGCTTGTGCCAAATTTGAAGAAATTCCCTAAACGTATTTGTTCCTGAGATAGTGCCTTCACAAGAATGGGATGGACAGACAGACAACCAAAAAAATAATGCCTCTGGCCACAACTGTTTCAGGTGCGGAGGCATAAAAATGGCTCAAAGGTGGATGTAGACTGAGAGGTAGATACACAAACAAGGAATGCATTCAAATAATATCACAAACAGCCGAGGTGCAGCCAGTATCATCACCACGTGAGTTGAGTCCAGTATGCAGATTCACTAGTAGTACTAAACTGTTTCAGCATGAAACTGTGTGGCCGCAGTAAGGCAGAGGGAAAATGTGTCACCACCTACACTGTCAAAAGCAAGCAACACTTTGTCACAGTCACTCCTGCAGTATAGAGTGTGTGTGTAACATTGAATTAAGGTTGTAAGGCTTTGTGGGTGCTTGGGAGCTCCTCAGCGCCCACAGGGAAATCATACTGTGGGGTGACTATATATGAAGAGTAAGATAATTGTCCACTGAAAATAAATAGAGGATGGAAAACTGTGACAAAGCAGAGATTTAATCATGCCCACTTCTGTATTGAACTTTCTTGGTTTTGTGACAGTCACCTGAGCCACTCGGAGGTTTCGTATAGTGATACAAAACACTTCATTTTTCTATCACCTTATGACCTAACAAACACACAGGAAGTTTCATGGCTGTCACCATCCAGTATAATACACCCCGTCTAACTACTCAGCTCTGATATATTTTTTTATATTACTAAGGCAGCACACCAGTTCCACACACCAGTATTTACTCTTTGACTCTCACCACCCACTGGAGCACAGTTTTCAGGACCCTACCCAACTGGGCTGAAAACATTCCCACAAGGGCAGAGGGAAAGGAGAAGGAGCACAAACACATCAGGGAAGCAAGTCAAAACCATTAAAGATCCAGAAAGAACTCTTCTACAACACACAGAAGAAAATAACCAAAAACAAATTGTCATTCCATGCAGTGCCGGAGTATCTGAAAAACTCAGGAAGGTCTTGAATTAAACACCACATCCTTGTGCATTTCAAGCCCAGCTACACTCTGAGATATCACCTGGTTCACCCCAAGGACAAAGTACCCTGACATAGGCAGAGCAATGTACTGTAGTATACTGTATGTACTTCAGTGCATTTAAATACCTGGGACTCCACACCAGTCAGTAACTAAAGAAGCTTCTCTGATGAGTGGTGCAAGACACTCAAGCAGGTCCAGTTGAACTACTTTTAGCACTTTGTATTAGACAAAAAAGGCAAAGTAAAGGTATCAGCATTTTACGGAATTGTATAAATAAATATTTCACCGATTCATTGATATTTAGACAGTTATCAGAAGATTAATCCATATGGAAAATAAGGTTCTCTATTCCTTCATAAAACCATGGTAAATTTGCTCCACCTCAGACAAATGTCTTTGAACACTTTTAATATTTTAAGGACATTGTTCTGATTGACATTCTTTTCCTTAAATGAAAATTTCACTCAAAATTTTTTAATTGAAATTAATTATTTTTACTTTTCATAAATATAGGATCATAAGACTTGTACCATTATTACTCCAGGAGCTAAGTCTAATACCACCAGGGTAAAGATAAATCCACCCATCGCCAAAAAAAAAAAAAAACCCGCCGGGATTGTTATGCGATCCTTCTGATGTGGCTGTCACATAAAGAGTATTTTTCTGCAGTGCTGAAGACTGTCAGATCAGAGCAGATCTTCTCTACTCTGCACACAGCCTAAGCCACCATCAGTGTTTTTACCACTGGAACAAATGGCTGTGTTGAAGACGCTGTGCTCGCTATTCACAGGGGAATATGATGAGCTTGAGCAGCGCTGGTTTCCATGGCAACACACAGCTCCATCTACCAAGTGCTCACAATATAGCAGGATGAGGCCACAGCATTGGATAACATTTGTCTGTTTCATCTTGTTTCAGAGGGTCTGAGGAAGAACAATGTACTGCATCTGCTTTGGGCATAAAGCTGTCATTCATATCACATCTGTTTTTTTTAAATAGCTCTAATAGATGAATATCAGTGAATAGAAACATAATTATACAGGTTTGTTTCAAAGCACGTTTGTTATAATTGTACTGACAGTAAGGAAACAATGAAGGCTGTTATGTTCAACAGTAGTTTTAATTGTTACTAGTGGTTTAGTTAACTCTCACAGGATTTAGGGAAGAATTTAATTAAAGCAGCTATAGATGTTAATATATTTTTATATTACCAATGGATGTTGTGAACTCAGAGATAATTATCACCAGATTCTAATCTCCTTCAGCCCTACAGGGGAGTTTGACGTCTTTCAGCACATCTTTTGTTGTTGTTATATTCATATTATTCATCCAAAATGTCATTATCCTGCTGTTCCAGAAAGCCACTGAGCCTTTAAAAAAGAAATAAAGTGCATATTTATAACTTATTTTTAAAGATTCATGTCTTTCCAGGAACCAGTGGGCTTGGGGCTGAAGTCTGAAAGTACTGAGCAGTGGAGTATCTGATTGTATCTTTTCATGGGATTTTGTTGAGATAAATATATATACACATATGAGTGACAAATAAAAGGAAAAACCAGCATAAAGTGTCTGAGTAAGGTGTTAGGCCACCACGTGCCACCAGAACAGCTTCCTTGCACCTCGGCATTGATTCTCCAAGTCTCTGAACTCTACTGCAGGGATGAACATTCTTGCAAAAGATATTCCCTGGCTGGCTCACTAACTTTACCATTCATCAGGGGGCACAAATCAGAGTTGAAGCAAATTTCTAAATCCCATTAAATTAGTAATTAAACTAAAATGAATGACTGGAGGTCATTGCATGCAAGATGATCTGTTTCACTGGTGATTATACAAGTCTGTGTTGAAAAGTCTGCAGCAGGATGTAGTGTGGATGAATGTGTCAGACAAACCCCGACTCAAAGAAATGTCTGTTGATATGGGTGAGATGTATGAAAAATATTTGTAGACACTAATTTTATTCATGATTCAGTTTGTATCTTTCTTTTTCATTATCTCTGCTCTGTGGGGGAGCCTGTTAACAAGATAGCTAGATCCAGATGTGGCCAAAATGGAGCAGAAGCCACATGGGGGCACATGCTATTTTTAGGCAATCAACCAGCTGAGCACAGGAAGACTAGATGTCACATTCTAAATCTTTTTAAATCTTACCACAGTATTTCTCCAGCTCTATAGAACTCAGTGAAATGTAATGTTTAGTGGATGAAAACTAGCCTCATTTAACAACTGTATTCTCAAAAATGCAGCAGTTGTTATATATGAAAACTGTTATACTACTCAGTATGGCACATGAAAACCAATTATCCACTCCATCCACTGTGACTAATCAGTTCATCCAAAATGTCCTCACACTGAAAAGGTCATGAATTAGCATGTTAACATTAGTTTTGTCAGCTAGGTAGTGCAGTTAACTAGCCTAAATGTAAAGTGAATATTTTGTAACATCAGGTGTTGCTTTATCACCTGTGTTTAAGTTCAGACTTAGATGAGTACTAACTTATAGATCTCCAGTAGCAAAGTTTTACACATCACTAGTTTAAAAAAAGCTTACACCTCACAAACTACTTACTCTCCATGTATGAAGACATAAACAAAAACTAATTAATAACTACATTTACAAAATATATATCTTTTGTGCCTAGAAAAGTAAATTTGGGAACTTGTTCCACAGTGACTTCCTGTTTACATATTTGATTGCTCTTCCTTGAACAATGCTATAGTATGTTTCTGAGATGCAGAATTGAACATTACTACTTAAGCCATGTTTTAATGGCTCTTCCAGGTTTTGATTTGATTTGATTTGATTTGATTTATTCATTCAAGCATGTAAAACAGTTGATATGTCAACACATGTAATTTCACACATATCCAACAATAATAATCCAATATCAATTTACTTATACCTAGTACATGCTTGAACGGAGTAGGAAGAAGTTAGACTTATCTAGTCCTACCCCATGACATCATCTTACAACTTTTAAGTCCTAAGCAATATCTCTACTGTGAGATATTAACTGTGTGAGACATTGCAATTCAAGCATCAACACTGTTCACTGTGCACATATAAGAATATGTATTGTAGAAAAAACACTAGTATCTTTATACACTATATGGAATGTAACATTAAGGTTGCTGTATGACTGCAGCACAAGCACTGTTTGGAAATTCTTATCTTACTGGGACACTGTTTAATGAGATAAAGAGTATAGCCTTCAGTCAGTCATGGTGTGATCACTTATGTACTTATATGGAAATATAATCTTCACTTAGATTGACTCATCAGCACTGTCTTAGTTAAATGTACTAATAAGGAGTATAACCTTCAGTTCCAGTAGAAGTGAGTGTGTGTGTTCACTCTTACAATGACATGTATTTTTGGATAATACCGCTTCCCATGAAGGGAGTCGCAGGAGGAAGCAGAAGATTTGAATACAGTGGGATATAAAGATGTCTGGAACAGTTCCACTATTTTATACTCATTGAACTTGTAAGGATAAATTTAAGTTTCTCCATTATAACAGGATGTTCACCATTCAAGTGTGTGCGCTTCTTAAATTAACAGGATGTACTACTTTGGAATTAGGGAGT